CTGTCCCTGTCATGTTCATTCTCCTAAGACCAATGGATATTCCCTTCACTCTGTAATGAGATTAGCTGAGGCTTGTTCATTCCCCTACTCCCATCATTCCTCTCCTCTGTAACTTAGGTCTGCTTCCTATTTCTTGGGTCACAGAGCCCTCTGGAAGCTATGCAGCCCCTCTCCTTATGCCCCTGTGAAATGCCCAGCCCTACAGACTGTTATATATGATGGAAAAAAGGCCATCACAGGCTTTAGCATGAACAGGCCCAGTCCTCCATCACTCTTCAAAGGTCTCTCCCCTGGAGAGAATTCTCAGTGGCTCACCCCAGCCTTTCCCAGTCCCTTTCCTGGCTCCACCCTCAGGAGGCTGGGTGTCTTCTCTTAATGGGCCAGGATCAGCATCTCTGCCTTTTCTTCTCTACGAAGAGAGTCCTGCCTGCAGAAAGCTTGTCCTGGCTCTGCCCTGTGTACCTGAGTGAAGCCTACCTGGGCAGGACCTTCACATGGTCTTCCTTCTAGGGGATCAGTTAGCAGGTACCCATTTGACCCTCACCCTCACACAAAGCCAGGACCTCCAACTTTGCCTCTATTCTATTAGGGAGAAAATTTGTATTTGGCCTCTCTACCTGCCACTCATTTGTTCCTCAGATTGTTGGAGTAGTGTGGAGGAGAGATGCTATTTATGGGGCCCACTCCCACACCATCCCAACATCTGCCATTTACTTGAACTCCAGATCAGCATACACCTTTCCGTTCACATAGCCATTCTAGTTGAGTGATTCTGGCTGGGCAGTTTAATGGAAATCTCTTCGAGTCTCAGTTTCCTTATCTGCCAAATGCGGATTGTAATAACCATCTTTTCTAGCTTCTGCATTTGATGCTTTGACATCTGGAGCCTTGCTAACCCTGGAGGGACTCTCCCTCCCAGGGACAGCCAATTACTTGACATAGCGAAGGACTGGCTTATGAAGGCCCCTTTCATAAATGCTCAGCCCATCTTCCCAATCAGATAAAACTTTATGCAGCCCCTGCCCACTGGGCCATACTGCCCTGCCCTAATCCCCCAGGACCAGGTACCAGATTACTAGGAACAGCCACTGTGCCCCAGAGCCTGCTGAAACTATTCAAAGTAGCCAACCCTGAGCCTGCTTACCCTGTCTGATCCGTCCCTCCCTGTGGAGACCACAGTAAAGGCTCTTTCCCCATCTTCCCCTCACTCCCTCTGCTTCCTGACAAATCCTAGGGCTTCCCTGTGTGGCCCTGCATGGCATGGCAGGTCCTTGCCTCTTAGGAATCGCGAGTAACAATCTTTTCAGGGGCCTCACCGTAACTGAAATAATAATAAATTCTATATTTTAAAATGATGATAATATCACCTGCGTCTTAGGATTGCCGTGAAAATAGATACACATGGAAAAGTGTCTCACACAGCACGTGGCATACGGCAGGGGTTTAAAAACATGTCAGTTTCTCTTCTCTCTGCCCTATCCATAGCTCTCTTCTTCTTTTACCTTTGTCTTCACTCACTTCTTCCCCGCTGTCTCTTTCAAGTATCAGCTGTATAATTTGTAGGACCCAGTACAAAATGAAAACATGTAGCCCCCTGTTCTAAAATTGCGAAGAATTGCAATTTGGTGGCTGCAGAGCATTAAATTCAGTGGGAAGCCCTTCTCAGGACAGGCCACACATCCACAAAGCCGGCCCTGATCCCTCCTCCTTCCCATCAAATTCTCTTCTGCTTCCCAAATATTTCTAGCCTGATTTTTCAGTCCCAAGGACCTAATAGTTTGCCCCCTTTGTTTGGTTCTATTAGCAGATTCCAATTTTTAGATACCATAAAGCTTTAATAATTCCATATAATTGGAGAGGGTGGAAAGGAGGCCAGTTTGAATTAATGAAAAGTCTGAGAAATAAGACATTACTAAAGAAACGCAGTTTTATTACTCTGTAACAGATTTATATGACAACAGGGGAGATACAAAGAGGAGAGAAGAGAGGAGGAAGTTAGAGTTTCTTGTATGTAATTTAACACAAAGAAAAGATTTAATTTGTAACAAGCATATTCTCTTATTTGTAAATTATGCTACTAAAAATCCTCTCCCTTAAGTGGGTTAATATTTCTCTTGCTGGCAATAAGTTTGCTTAGTGAAACTGTTCTGCCACTACAGATGCTGGTAAAATTCTTCTGTGGTGATTCTATATAATGAAATGATTTCCATGATCTTGCAAGCAGTCCATAGCATGGATTGGGTTAGAGCGAATTCTCATCAAGAGAAATCCTGCACAACAAATTTTCCCTCTGCTCCCTACCTTCAGAATAGTCAAATCTTCAGAACATCCTTCTAAAATTCGGAATTTACTATGTGCCATAGCACCAGGCTTAGACTTAATCTCTGCTGATTCCTGCTGTTTCAGACCCAACTCTTGTCCCATTGCCATTGGATCTGGACCTATTGTGGGGGTGGTATCCCTAAATAGACCATATACCCCCACACCTCCACGCCCTAGCAACCTGGGCCTGTAATGTCCTCCCCACAGTCTGTCAAAGACATAACTCACATTTCAAGGTCCAGGTTAGAGGTTCCCGACTCCAGAAATCTGCCTCTGATTTTTCCAAGCAGACTGTGTCTGTTCCCACTGCACATCTATTACATCATTGTGCTACTGCCTATGAATCCTCTTTGAGACAGTGCAAGCACCTGGACTCTGGGTCTCACCCATCTCTAGGGAAGCATGGTAGCCCAGCAGGTTGGTAGCAGAAATAGTCCCGGCTCTACTACTAACCAGCTGCATGTAGATGGTAACACCAGCTTCATGGTGTTGTGAGGATTAAATCAGATGAAACCCCAAAAGTGCTTAGTACCCAGCCTGACAAAAAATAATTGCTCAAAACATATTAACAGTTCTTGCCAGACACTGCTATATAAACTCCACGAGGTTGCAGGGTGGCCACGCAGCCCCGTGTTGCTGGACCTTCCTGGTTTATCCTCTGTGGACCTGGTGTTTTTATTAACCTCTCTCACTCTCAAGGTATTTCAGTTGGATGACAAACTATATAGCCAGTCTAGATAGCTGGGACCAGGTCTGTTTTATTTAGCAATATGTCCCTGGCATATCAAACAGTGCTGAGCACATATTAGGTCCTTTATACAAATTTATCAAATGAACAAATAAATGGGTCTCTGAGAGTGCTTAGTAAGTGCTTGCACCTGGTAGGAGTTTGATTCTGCTAGCTGTGGTTGATCTCTCTATATTTCCAAGTGCCTCCTGATTCAGAGACGGCAAGAATCAAGGCTTAGAGAGTGAGTAAATGAATGAATCAGTGACCCCAACCCCTCTGTCATCTCCTCTGTTGCCAATAGTACTTCTGGGGGAAGGAATGACCTTGCCCAGAGGTAGGGAGAAGAGTGGGACAGATGGAAGAGGATTGAAGGTGGTGCTGTTCCCACCAGACTTTATGGAGAGGGGGTCTCTTCCAGGTGCTATGGCAGGGTTTTGTCGTTATTTCCATTATTGGTATCTGCCATGGCAGCAGCAGGAAATCACAGCCCAGAGTTAGCCCACCCAATGGCTCCGGTGGGCTTCTGAGGACACTGGGATGCTTGTCTCCACCTAACATTCTATACACAGGCACAGATGCTAGAGAGCCTAGCAGGTGCTGCTCCTAACAGCCCGCACAGAGAAGAGGAAGGGCATGGGAATGATTAGCCCTCTTTGGCTTCCCTTCCAGGGCTCAGAAAGGAAATTTCACAAGCTGGGAGCCAAAATGTTTTGGACACAGACCATACACTAGGCATGGGCATGACGGTGAGAACTTTAAGAATATTAACTCATTCAGCCATTAGAGTAGCCCTATAAGGTGGGGAAACTGAGTCTGAGAGGGGAAGTGACTTGCCAGAGGTCACACAGCTAGTAATAGACAGTGTCCCAGAGCCCAAATCCCTCAGGTGTAGGAACCAAACAGCAGTCCTCTACATCCATTCTAACCCATTATAAGAAAGCCCAGTTCTTACTACTGCCCCCTGCTGTGTGACCTTGAGGCCAGCTCACCCTCTCTGGGCCTCAAGTCCCTTTTCCAAGGCTAACGTTCTAGGAGGCAGTGTTTCTTGAGTTAGGATATCCCCAAAGGCCAGGGTGTCCCTTCCTCCTGAGGCATCAAGGTAGGGAGGGGTGGCCAGGCCCTGGATGAGTCCCAGTCCAGAAACATGCTGTACTGGCCCATCTTAAGGGCCTGAGGCGTCTGCTCAAGCCCACCTTCTGAAGAAGGCTTAGACACTGGGCTGAAAAATCACGCTGTGGATCTGAGGCCCCACTGAATGTGGGACTTCCGAGCTCTTGTGTCACCAGGCGGGGGACCTGAGCGTGCTTGGGGTTGGGGCTGTAGCCAGGGGGGCCAGGAGGAGGGGAGCTAGGAAAAGCCGAGGCTGGAGATGCAGAGAGCACTTGGCAGAGGGTCCTCCAGCACCTGTGCTCTTAGCAGCTGCAAACCACATTTGGGGAAGGGAGAAGCCCCCCGCCCAGGGTAAATCTCTACAGCTCTGAACCTGTCCCCAGACTGCAGGAACCAGAGCCAGGAGAAAGGGTGCCCCTACACTGAGGAGAAGCCAGGTGGGGAAGTCGGAGCCATCTGGGAAGAAGAAATTGGGGGTTCTAGCGCCCCGGACGCCCCCATCCCCGGGGCTGCTCTGAGCCCGGAAAGTTTTCGCGCAGCAGGCGCAAGGCGCGCCCCCTTCCCTCACCCGCGGGCGCCGGGTCCGCGGGCGCCCACCCCTGCCCACCCCGGCCCGCCCCGCCCGCCGCCTGGTGCCCGCTCAAGGTCACCGCTGACAAGGCGCCTGCCTCCGCGGGGCGAAGGGACCAGGACGCGCTCCGGCGCGGGCTCCCGCGCTGGCCCAGCGGGGGTCTCCGGGCCGAGCGCCCGCGGAAGGGAAGCCAGCAGGGAAGGCGACAGGAGACCGAGGGAGAGGAGAAGAGGCCCAGAGCCCCGGGCCCGGCCGCCCCTGCCTCACCTGCGCCGTCTCCGAGAGCGAGATGCTGCTGCCGCCGCCGCTGCCGCTGCCGCTGCCGCCGCCACTGGTGCGCGCCCGGCCCGGCCCGGCCCCGCTGCTGCTGCGGCTCCTCTGCCGCGGCTGCCCCGCGCTCGCCTCGCCCCGCGGCCCCGCCGCCGCCGCCGCCGCACGCCCGCCTGCCTCCCTCCCTCCGCCGCCGCCTCTGCCACCGCTGCACTGCGCTCTGCCCGCCTCCCCCTCCCGCCCTTGCCGCTCCCTCCTCCCCGCGCGCTCCCCCTCGGCCCTCCCCAAACTCCGCACGGAGAGCGCCCAGCGGGACCGGAGCGCGCGGTCCCGCCCGCGCCCTCCTCCGCGCGCACCTGTGGGGCGGCGGGGAAGGGTCACCCGCCTTGCCCCTGGGCGTGTCTCCAGGTACCTCCATGGGCACAGGTCCCCGTCCCCGCCCCACCCGCACAGCCAGCCTGGCTGCGGGAGGCATCCTCCCCATTCTTCCCCACGGGTCAGGGCGCCCCAAGCCTCCCCAGCACACCCGAGCCTGTGAATTGGCCACGCGGGGAGGAGCGCATGGGGTGTGGAGTGGGCAGAGGAGGTGACCCGCTTTGGAGCAGGGGACCCCTGGGCCAATCCCAGGGAGCTTAGCCTTAGGGCCCTCAGACGCGAGAAAAGTTAGGGCAGGGAGCAAGGGCACGCTTATCCCCCAGCCTCCAGCCTGGCCCTGCTTAGGGCCTGTAGGAGTCCAGGACAGAAGACCTGCTTAAGGAGAAAGTTGAAAACCCCAGACACGCACAGAAAGCACCTCCCCAAAGTAGGCTTCCCCTCCTTGGCTCATGCCCCAGGTCCCTGAAAAGCCTAGCTCTACCAGGAAGCCGGGCCACCTGACTCTCAGCGCCTGGGTCTGCTCCATGCCATCAATTAATCATGCCTGCTTGTTTATTTATTTATTGGCTTTATAAAAAGCCAAATGCACTGCTCGCAGGAAGTGGAGACGGGGAGGAGAGGGCCTGACCATGGTAACTCCCCTTCCCAGGCCTCATTCTGATGAGTTGAAGAGCTCGCGGGGACCCTGAGGTCTGAGTGCCTGGAACACCTTCGTGGGAGTGGCAGGGACATCCATTCATGGGGCCAAAATTCAACATGGCCTGCTCTTTGCAGCCCTGGGATGGGGCAGAGGACATTCATGACTGGAGGTTTAGGCAGAGGAAGGAGGGGGCCGGGGGGGGGGGGTTGTGGAGAAGGCAGTCCAGCAGGTGTGACAGGTGTCTCCAGGCCCTTCTTGGCCCAGAGCATTCCCTCAGTGCTCAGCTTGGCAGGTAGCACTTGCTTCTCTAGCTGCAGCCCTATCCTCTCCCTGGGCACCGAGAGGACATCACCCCAGGGAGCCCCTAATCCATATCTCCTCCCACCATCCTCATCCCACCTAATGGCACTGCAGTGCCTTCAAATGGCCAGCTCCAGGCACTCTCCCTCACCCCACCCCAGCACCATGTCCTCCCTGATGAAGCCTGGAATCTGCTCTTCTTTCTGTTGAAGGGCCCTCCTTCAGGTCCTCGACATCTCTCTTCCAGACTCTCACAGTGCCAATCTCTCTGCCACCATTCTGCTGCCACACTAGCCTTCGTCATGCCCAATCCTGCTGTAAAACTCTCCATAGCTCCCTAGTGCCCTCAGAAGTCTCACAGCCCCAGTATGCCATGCAGGGCCTTTCACACTCTGGCCCCAGTGCCCTTTGCCCTCCTTCCCCACTTGGGTTGCCAGTGCCCCTCCCAGCACACACTTAGCACTGTACCATGTCTTCCTCTCTCTTCTTTTCCTCCTGTGAAATGCCTTTCTCTCCTCTCAGTCTCTGCCTAGCCACAGTGCTGAGGGTTGGTCTTAGTTACTGCTTCTTTTGTGAAACCTTCCGAAACCAGCAAGCAAGTTGAGAAGGCAAAAAGGATGGGCATGAAAAGCCACACTGTGAGAGATAACTCAATGCAAAAATGAGTGACACCACAAAAGTCCTAGTGACAAAACTCATCTTGGGCATGACTTCACCTCTGGACCTGTTGGTTCATCTGTTAAAAGGTGATACGTTACACAGCCTCACCCAGAATAAGTACTCATAAATGGGGGCTACAGTTCTTTTTCAGTACCTACTGTATGCCAACGCTCTGAGATTTACAGATTATTGAGTAGGGACTTGAGGGATGGCAGGAATTTCAGACTCAAATGTGTGTAAGCACTAGGCATTACCTAGGGAGGTGGGCTGGTTCTGGCTTAAGGCTTTCTACTCTGGAATCTACCAATAAGAAAAAGCAACAGTGTATGTGAGATGACAAACAGCAGCAGGCACTGGCTCTGTATTGGGAGGTAATAGGGAGTAGTGTGGACTGTGGCATCTGTGGTGTCAAATGGGTACAGCCACTACCCAACTCTACTGGATGGGGACTAGGCAGGGATATGAGCTGGGACTGCCAGTTTTCCATTTTTTTTTCTAGAGAAGGTGGATACCTGGATTTTTATGCAAATACTCTTGATTTTTAAATGTCACCAACTGATAAACAATTTTTAAACTTTGAGAAGGTCAAACACAGTTATAGCTGTGATAAGGTTTTAGGTAGTAGGCTGGCAGCTGCTGGCCTCTGGGTGAATAGGTGAAAGATCAGTGTTGTTCATGACACACACAGACATACACACACAGCCCTCTCCTCACTCTGGTGGGATGCCGGGGGTCATGTCCACCTCAGAGATACAGAGGTCTAGGGAATGGAGTGGGAGGAGCACCTCATTGCAGCTGACAGGAGTGGGGAGTGTGGGAGGTGAGGGATCAAATCCCAGCGCTGGTTCTGTCCCTATTGTGCGTGGGAGCTTAGACAGGTCACCCATCCTCACTGAGCCTGTTTCCTCCTCTGAGAAAGGGCAGGCAGTGTGTGTGCATGTGTGCATGTGCACATGCAGAATTACCTGGATGGTGACCAGCATGTGTGGACTGAGGCCACAGGAGGCTCCACTGCCAACAGACACACATCTGTTCATGAGGAAGCCGCAACAATCTGGTCACCCAGGAGAAGCCTCACTCCACTAAAGACAGGACCCTGAAAGACTATTAAAATCTGAAAACTTCTGGAGAGATGGTAAGGGCAGCAGGTGATGGGGAAAATGGCCGCTTCCCTGTGCAGGATGAGGAAGAGACGAGGAAGTGACTGGTGCTTGGTGAGTGGGTGCACCTGTCATCCTCAAGTTCCTAAGAAGAAAAAGAAGCCCTGGTCCGTGTCAGTCATGGCAGAAGCAGGGACTGAAAATATCTGAGAGCAAACCTGGGAATGGCAGGGCCAGACTTGGAAAATATGTGCAGGGCCTACGAATGCCCCTTCAACGTGGTTTTCATGTGCTGAGGTTAAAGGTGGTTTTAAAAGTATTCTAGTTCCCACAATGACCATGTGCTGCTATTGTAGTCACAGTAAAAGTGTGTGCTGACACCCAGGATAATCATCCTACAGAGCAAACGGGAGGCATCTAAACCAACGGATAAGCAAGATGTTCATATGATGGAAGCCACCTTAACACAACGTTCTCCCAGCTAGATTTTCACCTAACTTAACGGGAGAACGTCTTACCAGAATCTAGAAGGCGATTCCAGGGCCTGCACAGGTCTCCTGAAGGAGAGTCTCCGGGGCACCGAGGCTGGAAATGTGTCTCTGACACTCTACCCCACTATGATCTAGAAAATTTGGTTCAGCTCTAAGCAGGTGTTTCTTGAGCAGGGATTAAAGGAATCATAAGCCAGGTCTCTCCCATTAAAAGACTCTAAATGCAGCCAGGAAACTTCAATTCCTCCTAAACAAGGCAGGATGACATATTTAAGATAAAAAGTGCCACCAACAAATATTTAACAGGTTTTTCTCCCAGGGAGAATGTGGGTTAGAGAGGAGATCATTTTATTCTCTATATTTCAGATCCTGTTATAAGAATGTTTCTGTATTTTACTTGTGTAATTTAAATTTTTAAATAAAAAGGACAAAACACCAAGTGCTGACATAGCCTGGGAGAGGAGCAATTAGTTCTCTTAATGGCCAGTGAGGAAGACTTCAGAGGTAGAGTTTTATCTGGGTTTTAAAGAAAGAGTAACAAAATGACAGAAACAATCATTCAACTCTGTTAAATGTCAATTACTCTTCTTATTATTTTAAATACACTGATTTCATCCTCCCAGCAATGCTATAGAGCAGGTATTTGTGAGCGAGACTATTGATACCCCAGCCTGCCCAGCCCCTAGCTCTGTGGGTGTCGGCTTCTCACACTAGCTCCCTTCTCCTGGGGATGTTGTCCTTGGCCGACTGGAACCACTAGGTGGCAACAGTCTCTGCACCTCTGCGGTGCAATTCACACACCTGTCCTCCCTGTGGAATCAGGCTGAGTGGACTTCTCTGCGAACCTCATCTTCGCTGGCCCCATCCTGCTTATCTTCTTCCACTGTAGATTTCTCCTGTGACCATACCCTCAATAAACACCACACATAAGCAACCCCATCTCAGGCTCTGGTTCTGGGGAACCTGACTTCACATCATTTTCTCATCCCCATTTTGCAGTTGAGGAAACAAAGTCACAAATCAGCAAAGGCACTGCTCTAGAAAGGGGAAGAGGCCATCTGACTCCTATCCATCCTAGAAGGATGTTTCTAAGAGGACGAGGCAACAGGAGCTGGGCACGTCAGGCAGACACAGCACATGATTGGGAAACAGAAACACAAGGAAGGGGAGGGGTGTGATGAGGTATGGGGCAAAGTGAGGCACAGGAGAGAGGCAGGAGGGAAGGGGAGCTCACAGCCATAGGTCCTGGCTGAGCTGAGGATTCATCCATCCACTGATCGAATACACGTGTGCCTGGGCCCACGGGGAGCCAGGTACACCATTGCATGGTGCACAGGAGTCAAAGATGAATGTGTACCATGCCTGTCCTCATGCTAGTACATGGGGATTGGGAAAGAAAATAGACCCACATGAGCTCAGGTTTACACAAACCTAAATGTTCGGGAAAGCAAACCTGGGCCATTTTAGCTGGGTCCTGTAGTAAGGGAAGATAGGCACAGATAGAGATGCTGGTGGTTGAGGGGTGGGGATAGAAACAAGGGAAATGCATTTGGCTACACTTCTCCAGAAA